GTGTGTGTGTGTGTGTGTATGTGCGTGTGTGTGTGTGTGTGTGTGTGTGCGTGTGTGTGTGTATGCGTGTGTAATCGTTGTGTCTTTGCGTCGGCAGCTGAGGACTACTGCGGCGACGTCTCCACACCTCGCTGTGATAATACAGCTTACTGCGTGAACGTACTCTACACCGGGGGGCACCAGTGTCGCTGCCGACCCGGCTTCTACGACAGCAACACGGGACAGTGCGTGAAAGGTGAGCGTGACGTCACATGGAGATGTCACATCTCAAGAATATATCACATTGTTATAATTCGATATCAAGAGCTAATAAATACCTTATAAGGTACCTTATAAGGTATTTATTAGCTCTTGTCGATGTCAATAATAATTATATACACTAATTAATTATTGTATATTAATTATCATTGTTACACTCGAGAGTCAACGTCGCTCCAGATCGAGGAAGTGTCTCCCGTGTTTGACCTCTGACCCGTGTTTGACTTCTGACCCGTGTTTGACCTCTGACCCGTGCTTGACATCTGACCCGTGTTTGACCTCTAACAACCTGTTTAACATTTGACCCCGTTTCACCTCTGACCCGTGTTTGACGTATTGACACCTTCATGATCTTTCACCCGTTGTGTTTGAGGCGTCGGTGTGCAGCCTGGCGTGTGTGTTTTGCCGTGAGCAGGTAACGTGCGACTGCGTGGCACGGTGACGGTGACTAACCAACAGTTCAGCGACGATCTGAAACAGGAGGCGACGGAGGCGTACGACGACACCGCCACGGAGTTCATCGCAGCGGTGAGTGCAGCGGACCCTGTGCGCGTGCGAGTGTGTGTGCGCGTGCGAGTGTGTGCGCGCGTGTGAGTGTGTGTGTGTGTGCGCGTGCGAGTGTGTGTGCGTACGTGCACGGGTGCGTGTGTACGTGCGTGCGTGCATGCGTGCGTGCTTGTTTGTGAGAGTGCGTGCGTGCGAGTGTGCGTTGTGCGTGCGTGCACGAGTGCGTGTGTATGCGTGTGCGTGTGCTTGCGGGCGTGCGCACAAGCGCGTGTGTGCGTGCCTGTTTGTGTGAGTGCGTGCGTGTGTGCGAATGTGCGCGCGTGCTTTGTGCGTGCGTGCACGGGTGTGTATGTGTGTGCGTGTGTTTGCGGGCGTGCACACATGAGCGTGTGTGCGTGCCTGTTTGTGTGAGTGCGTGTGTGCGAGTGTGCGTTGTGTGCGCGTGTGTGCCTGTGCGTGAGCTTGCGTGCGTGCGCACACGCGTGTGTGTGCGTGCCTGTTTGTGTG